AAACCGACCGAGATGTTCATTTAGAGTCATTAGCAAGAGGGGAAGAATGGAGTAAAAATCAGGCGAGTGTAGTCAAAAAATTACAAAACCAAGTAGAAACTTTAAGTAAACGACCTGATATCACTGCTGAGGGTTTGCAAGAGTTAAAAAAACAAATAACTACGCTTCAAAGTCAATTAGATGAAGAAAAAAAGAAAGTTGAATTATTACAAAATAAAGCCAAAAATCTCCGTGGGGCGGCCAAAATGTCCGTCCAAGCATTGGAAGATTTAAAATTAAGAATATCAACCGCCGAAAATGCTGATTTACAAACCAAAATAGAAGTTTTAACTGAAAAAACCAAACCCCAACTAACAAGCAGTTTCTTACCGACAAAAAAGGTAGTTAAAAATATTTTGCTCAGCAGTCTCATTGCTACTTCGGGAATAAAACACGCTTATAATTGACAGTTCGGAGAAAATACCTCCGCTCTGGCTCCCCTTAATTTCAATTCTCCTGCCAACCTTGCTAATAATGACTGATTAGAAAATGTTTATCGTAATATCCCTTTTAACGAAAAAGAGTATAATAACCTAACTAGTTTATTAAATTTTCCCTCACCGGAATTAATAACTAGTGAACGAACTGATTTAATTTTACCGGACTGACAAAAGGATATCAATCGCTTAGAGCAAAATCAAGCCCACAGCCGCCAAACCAGCAAAAAATTACGTCAGGAAATTAACCGGATGGAAAATAAGTGAAAATCTGAGCGAGAAAAATCCACCCAGCGGGAAAAAGAACTAATAAATACCCAACTAAATATTAATCAAACCATAGCCAATGCCTTAACCGAAAAAGATAATTTATTAGTTGAAATCTCCCAAATAAATAACCAGCGGGGAGTTAAAATATTGGAATTAACCCAAGAGTTAGCCCAAAGACAGAAAGATACTGGTGATTTACAAGCCCACCGTGACCAGGAGAAAGTGGAAAAAGATTTGTTGGAAAAAGCCAACCAGCAACTAACTGAGAAATTACAAGCAATTGACCATAATCTCACCATAGCCAAAAACGAGTTAAAAACTGCCAAAAGCAAAGTCCAACAAGCCGAAACTTTTGGCTTAACAGACTGAGTTAATTTAACTAATCAAACTCAAAATGAAACTTTAATCAGTTTATTAAATCGGCCAAAACAGGCTAACTTACTGGCTGCCAATCAAGCGAAAACTAAGGCAGAAAAGGAAAGAGACCAAAGAGTTAATATCACCCCAACCGCTTATGACAAATTAGTTGTAGAAAAAGACCAATTAGCCAATAACCTAACGGAGTGAACCCAGCAATTTCCGAACCAAACGGCCGCCGAAGTTCGGCAAAATCTAACCGATACCCAAACCGATTTAAGCCAATGAACCAATACTTTTAAGCAGCAAAACGCGACGGAAGTGGCGGCCACCTTAAACCAGTGAGAGAAGGTGTTTCCGAATAAAACGGCGGACGAAGTTGCCACCGAGTTGTCCCAAGTTCAAAGAGAACATGACCAACGGCCGAACACTACTCAGTCCGAACACGACGATTTGGTTCAAGAACGAAACCATTTATTAACTAACCAAAAGCCTGCCGACTTGCCTAATAATTGAAAAAAAGAATTAGCCCGAATAAAAGACTTAGAGCAACGACCAACCCAGCAGCAGTTAGACCAAGCAGTCCGGACAGCCCAAGACAATTATAAAAGTTATATTGCTCCGGAAAATTTAGAACAGGAAGCCAAAAAAGCCGGTTGAGAGTTTAAACAGGAAGATATTGATAACGCGGTTAAAGTTGAACAAACTAAATGAGAAGGATTTATTGCTCCCCATGATTTAGAGAAGGCCGCGAAAAAGACAGGTTGAAAGTATCAACAAGCGGACTTAGACCAGATGGTAAATAACGAAAAAAACAAATATGCCGGACTGGTTGACCCAACAACTTACCGGGTTAATTGAATTAATCCCACTAATCATCCCCAAATTATCACCGCCGCCGCTCAACTGGGCTATAAATATCAAGCAGCCGATTTAGCCAACGCCAAAAAAGGTCTAATTAACCCCCAAAATATTACCAAGTCCGACCAAAAGGCATTAAAAAAAGTGGGTTATGAACCAGTCAGTAATTATCAGGGCTGAATTAACCCGGCCGATAAAAATGCTCTTAGCCAAGCCGAATTAAAAACTGCGGCCGAAGTAAATCGCCAATTAGATAAAATAGCCGCTGAATTAGGTTTAGAAAATCGTGATAATTTAACGGATAGTAATTTGCAAGACCTAAAAGATAGTCAAAACCGAGCTAATATCACCTTGGCCGAATTGAAAAATTTACATGATAAGAAAGAAGCGGCCGAAACCGCCCGGGATGCCCGTCCTAATACTAATTTAACCTTAGACCAGATAACTAGTTTACAAGCCAACCAAAGTGAACTTACCCGCTTGGAAAAAATAATTGGAGCCGGAAAAACCGATGCTGAACTACAAGAATTTATAACTGCTAAAAATAATCTCCCCCTAATCACCGCCCAAGTGGAGGAATACCAAGGAAAATTAACTAATATTTTTGGTTTAACTGATAATAAGGCGAATGAACCCTGAGAAAAAAGTTTAAAAAAATTAAGTGATTATAACCAGGTTGAAACTCAACTGACTAATGCTAATAGCATGATTGCTGATTTAACTCAGCAAATAAAAGCCGAACGCCAAGCTAAAACTACTGAACAGGCTGCTCACCAAAGAACCCAAGAAAAATTAAAAACTAAAAGTAAATTAAAAGCCGAGCAAATAGGAATTAGTAACTCCTTAGCGGAAAAATTAGCCCAACGGGATCAGGATTTCGTGCAAATTAAAAGCCAACTAGCCACCGAGCGGGAAAATAATGTCGCCTTAAAAATGGAAATAGATACTTGAAAAGCTGCCGCTGACGCCCGAGCCGCCGTGGCTAAGGATTTAAGCGAACAATTAACTCAGGCTCAGAAAAATAACACTGTTTTACAAGAACAATTAACTACTGCTGGAAAGGAGAATGAGGAATTAGCCACTAAGTTAAACACTACTGCAACAGCACAGGATAATTTAAAAAAGGAAAATGATGACTTAAAAACTAAATTAGACATTGTTATTTGGGAGCAAGATAGTTTACGCACTGAGAAAGAGAATTTAGAGGCAGTAAATAAGAACCAAAAAAATGATTATATTAACTGAAAAATCCAACTAACCCAAGTCTTAGAAGAAGAAAAAAAATACGCAAAAAAAATGGAAGGGTTTTACCGAACCCAAGCCGAGTTAGCCGAGCAAACTTATCAAAAAGAGCGGCAACAAAAAGACCAATCCGTCCTTGAATTAGAAAAAATTCTGGCTAACCAAATATCCCAACATAATAAGGCAGTCGAGCAATTAACGACCGAGAAAAAAGACTTAGTCGAGCAATTAGCCCAAGTTCAACCAAAACTTATTAATTCCCAACAAAAAAATAAGAAAATGTTTATCGTAATATCCCTTTTAACGAAAAAGAGTATAATAACCTAACTAGTTTATAATTTTAATCAGTTATTACAAGCCCAAGTTAATAAATACCAAGGCTGGAAATCGCCCGCTGATATTGCCCAACAAGTAAAAGCCGCCGTGGCTGACCAAACCCAGCAGTTTAAAAATAAGTTTAATTGAGACTTAGTGCAAATCCAAAAAGAACGAGATCAGCGTCCTCCGATTACTAAAAAAGAATATCAGGAATTATTAAGTTTTGGTTGAACTTGGGCTAATTGCTCGACTAAGTCTTTTTTCTCGGT